AGTAGATGTGATTTATCTTGCCTTTGGTAAGACTTCTGGTGCTGTCCCACATGATATTCTTACGAGCCAAGTGGGAAAATATGGGCTATTATGAAATCATTGTAACGTGAAAGCTGAGTGAGTTGAAAAATCTTGTGTACTGAGTACTCTTCATTTATCAGAGGTTCTCTGGCCATTTGAAAAGCATAACAAAGCAGCCAAGAGAAGGCTGTCCTTCGTGTTTCGTGCTGTTCACCGTCTGCATTAGTAACCTGGATGATAAGCATGTGCATGCTTATATGTGAATGAATCAAGGCCGAGAGTAATATTTCTAGGAGAAATATTTTTAAATCAGGAAAGTAAAATTCATTAAGAAATACACAAATAATGGGACTGAGGACTGAAAAAGCAACTGAGTGCACACATATAAATGGGGAATTACTGACCACGTAGAGATAGTTTGGAAAGGATCTGAGGAATTATAGTGGCTCAGAAAATGAAGGGAAGTCAATAGTATGGATATTTGTCTGATTTAACAGGAGCGGCAGATGTGAGACAGCAGAAGTAATTGCCTGATTCCACTTGGCACTGCTTAGGCTTTTACTGGTATAGATAATCTAGGTCTGGGCATCATTCCTTAAGGAATGCAAAGTGGAAAAACGTCACTTGGACATTACTGGAGAAAAAAAAAAAAAAGAAAAGGGCATATCCAAATTTGTCGAACTGATTATCAGCAATTTATCCCTCCAGATTTGAGCTGAGACATGGTGGTGGGCTGCAAGGCCCACCTTGTTCTGCTGCTCTTCACGTGAGCGCATCCTACTGCTGTTCCAGACCTGGCTCCGAGTATTAATACTGTTTTACAATAAATGCAACAGTTATAAAAGCATTAATATCCACTGTGCCCTTCGGGATATAAAGCAAATACAATGTACCAGTAAGGCTAAAGGGATAGACGCAAGTCAGTGTAATACGATTGCTGAAGTGAAACCTATTCGCAATGTAAATAGTTTGCATACTGCATAGATCAGACCAACAGAGCTGCTCCCCTGCCATTCAAGTATAGCACTGAAACCCACTCATTAGAAGTTAAAATGACACCATATGTACACACTGCAGCACAGCATGAGGCACACTGGTGTTACGAAGAAAAAGTGGATTTCAGTGCAGCTGTTGTCATTTAAAGTTAAGTCCAATTCTGGGTAGCTCTTTTTGGTGATTCCCCCTTTCTATTGCAGATATGAAGACAAAATGCCAAAAAAGAGTATGCCACATCCACGTCCATAAAGTTTATCAACTTACAGACTCCAGGACAGGTATATCATTCATTGTTTTGCACCAGTAAGCACAGTAATATACAAAAGCATGCAAAATCATTTATGGTACAGAAAGATCCTGTAACTTCACTCTTCCAAGTAACTGGCAGACATTCAAACCACTCCTATTTATCTAGGAAGGTAATTCCTGAGATGCAAAGTTGAGTTGCATGTTGGCGTTTTCAAAGACAGTGTACTTCAGTGAAGCATACAGAAACAACTTTGTAGGGACATAACAAAACAGGAGCAAAATATTATCTAATACAGATACTCAGAGGCAAGAAATGATCATGGGGTTAAATTACAGTAAGCGGTGGGCTATTTTATTTTGTTGAAAAGTACATCTTTTACTGGATTCAACATAGTAATAAGATGAAGAGAGGTCCACTGGCAAGGGAGGAAAAAAAGCAAAAGTTTGGAAATAGTCGACACAACTGAAATAAATGACAGCTTTTTCAATATCCCGTAGGCAGGCTGTAGTAGATGATGTCTTCCCATATCCATGGAGAAAGTAAAGTCTTTGACTGATATAAGTCAGTTTAGCACAAATGCTGGTCTATCTAGGTAAAGCCTGCACTACTTGTTTCTTTTAATAGATAATATAGGTAATATCTAGCTTTCACTCTGAACCCATGCTTTAACACTCAGAATTTATCCATATTTAATTACAATTTTATCACACTTTTCTAATCAAATAAATTTACTTTGTCCTCCAAGCAATCACCTCAGTATTCCAGTATGTAAAAAATACTTTCATTATGTTTATTATAAAAATATAAATGTTTCCACTACAAATCATTTTACATTAGTAAGAGGCCATCTACAATTGCACAATATATAATCTAAATGAGTAAGTAATGCTTTGAAATACAAGTTAACGTAAATACATATTGCCAATCAAATCACATCTATACATTGCTTATTGAATGCTAAGTAACAGCACAAAACTAGATATGTTAACAGAAATAAATAAAATGGAAGCTATATTTAAAGATACAAAACCAATAATACGGCATGTCATTTTATGAGTAGTTGCATTTTCCTTGATGTTGATAACAGATGCAAGTCCTGTACAGGAAGATGGCCACACGAATTCTAGTATCGCTACTCCACAATGACGAATTGTACACTGCTATGTATACATATGTACACGGGGACAGGGAGTATAGGATGCTTGCAACAGAGGCCACTTACAGTACAAATCAACTTTCAACAGGGAGAGAAAACTAAATGTATTTTAAAACTCTCTACTCCTAATAGAAAAGAAAAGCAAAATTGAGTTTCTTTTTTCCCAAGGTTCAGTGAGATTTAATCTTTTATGCTGAGCATGCTCAAACAGCGGGCAAGGAGCATGACATGATACTACAAGAAAATTGAGGGTGGTTGGTGCAAAGTTTTCAGTCGTCATCTAAAACTCTAAGAACTGGTTCTGTGTTTTCAGAAGCATTTCACAGATGTCTTCCCCCTACCCCAGCCCCCCCTTCCCCGCTCTCCAGCGGCAGAAAGAAGCTGAAGAGAAATGCCACGAGGCATACGTTATAAAAAGCTGTACCCACACAGACAATGTCTGCAAATGGATTTCGGTGACTTAAATTCACTAACAATGTCTGATTTAGAGCAATCTCAAATGGAACAAAAGAAAGATTCTGAATGAACTAAGCAATGGAAAATAACAGCTTTTCTATTCAGCGTGCTGCATTTCATGACCGATTGTGGCAGATAAGGAGAAGCGTTCTTTACATCTTAAGTGCTTTATTTTAATTTTCTTCCGTTTTTCATTTTTTATTTCAACTTACTTTAAAACCCGCTCATTTTTCTTTCAGAAAATATTACTAATTATTATCCTGTGAGTGTGTTGCAAATCCAGTCCTTTACAGCATGCTCACTGCCAGCACTCATTAAAAAGTCTCTCATTCTGCTTCTATTTAGCAATGTGTGATAAATGTTGTGTCTCTACATTTTATAAGTCCTGGACCCACGAAGAACAATTTAAAAGCTGACTCAGCCACGCAAATCCTAGGAACCAATTCTTCCCTTACTTATGTGCCCTATGCTACACGGAGCTTCAAAAACCAAACCAATACAATAAAGAAAGCACAACCAGTTACCTGCTTCTGCATGCACAGCGAAACGCAGTATGCCATATATCATCTGCCTCTCACAGAGTCTTGGACTTTCAGGGATTCACTGTTATTCATCAGAACCAGGTTTAGATTCCAGCATGGCAAGTTGGGAATCAGAGTGGTTTCCACTAGTGCCCAAAGCCTGACGTCTGCGTGCCTGGCATCACCTCTGGAGTGTCAAGAAGCTTGTCCGTACATAGCACAAGAAGTGCCTCACACTGCGATTTAGACGGCTCATTTTCAGAGCAAAGAGTCGTGTCTGCTCAGAGTTGGGACCAATGTGCTCCAGAGCAGCAGCCTAAGAGCTCGCTATCGGGAAGATGCTGAAGATGGGGGAGGACTCTCGAATCCCACCTTCCAGACTCCTTTTTCCACTGCGAAACGTGAATGCTCTCCTAAAGATAGGCTCCTTTCTGCTTTCTTTCAAGGAACAGGTGCCTAAGGAACCTGTGCCAAAAAGCAAGGCTCCTGCAGGATAGCAGTGCCTGGACAGATGCCTTCTAGCTCAGACTTAGGTAAAATTACTTACCAAAGCCCCATTTCACAAGCTCAAGTCATCCTTTTAAGCTATCCACTTACCCTTGGTTGCAAGTCACCATCTCAGAGTAACTACCAGCAGCTGCCCACATGGCAGCACGCTTTCCAGCTCCCGGCGCCGGGAGCAGAGCCTGCCAGATGGAAGCCAGAAATGGAGCACTCCCCAGGGAACTCAAAAAGCACCCTCAGTTAATGCAGGAGGCAACCCTGACTCTTTTTAACGCTTGCTAGGCAAATCTCCCACCTGAACACCATCCGAGAACAGGGGTCCTTGTTTTGACGGGGAAGCAGGCCTTTGGGAAGTAAATGAGACGTGTGTGCCTGAGCGGGCCAGATACTGATCTAGAGATCGACAGGCACACAACTCTGCCAAAACTCAAGCCAGGGCTAAAATACCACTCACAGCAAATGGAAGGAATCTCAACAAGTCCAGACGCTTTGTCTAGCATCAGAGCTGGAAAAAAGACCATCTTTCTTTCCTTCTGTATTTCATATATGGTGTTGTGAGTATAAAATAATCTAGTAATTAACCCTCACACAATTTCTCAGGTTGAACCAATGAAGTTTTGATAACATTTGGCACTTGGCAATAATACAGCCAGGTTAAGGTATTTAAGCATAAATATAAACAATAATGGAAAAAACCCAAAGGAAATAAATAAGTCTTTTAAAAATTAAGACTTGTTTCTATATAAATGAACACAATTAGGGAAGCTAACATAATGGCAAGAATCTTCTGTCAACTAACTCAAAGTCACTACAAACTTTATTTCTGTATTCCTTTCTGAAGTTGAAATAGCATGTTACAATGACATTATAGTAAATATGGCCAGACAGGTAGTGAGGTATAGTCCTCTATTTTCCTTGCTTTTAAAGAAATAAAATACCTGTTACAGATCTCTTCTGTATAAAAATACTGCAAGTCTTTCTTTCTTCTTGTTTGCTGTATAGATCAAATACACAGCTTTTACGTCCATGGGTTTTTCGTGTTATTCAGTCACTTAATATTCAAATGGCTCTAGGTTTTAGTATCACTGGTTTTTACTTGGAAGGATTTTTTACATATTTTTTTCTTTTGAGATTTACTATCTGCATTAACAGTCAGTCAAGAGCACCCACCCTTTAGGATTAACAGATAGAAAACAAGTTCACTCCTATTTTTAAGGCATTTATACTCAATATTTGAGTGTCTTAGTGGGTTTGAAATTTCAACCATTATGTTTCCAAAGCTGTTGCAAAGAACTCCTTTAAATTCTGCCGTTTATCAGCCATCACATTTGCCCTGTGACGCAACTTTTCTCTCCTGAGCAACATCATTTTGGTACTTTACACAGGAACAGGGCTGTTCTTTGTGTGAGTTTCTAGAGCTTTGATACTGCTAACAATCTTCTTTTGAGGCCCCACAACTGTAACGCCGACTTTCTTCATGTCACTGGAAAAAAGAGAAGATGCACCGGGTGAGTGAGCATACTGTCTCTGTGTTTCCGAGGGCTGATGTGAGCAAACAGAAATCAACTTGCTCGTTTTATATTGCTGCATTGGAAGAGCCTCCTGGTATGGCAATACTGCTGAAACACAAACCCTGGTACGAAAAAATACTGAGGCCATTGTATGAAAACAGCAGGAGGCCACAAAAAAAAAGAGAGCAGAAACTCATTTAGCCTTGTTGTGTTTGCTTACCTGGGAGAAAAGACAACGAAACGGTGTTCTCCAGCGATACACACAGGGACTTAGGGGCAAGGGGCTCCTTCTAGGCCAGCTGCGATCCTGAGCCTCTCTACCATCTCCATCCCCCTACGAGCCTGATCGCTTTTCCCGAGTGGTGCCGACATCTCGCTATTACGTGCTGAGCCCTCTCGATGGTCGCCTTAACTCTGGTATCAGCACTGAGACTCACGGCTACATGACCAAGCTTCCAGCATCTACCCTGTTTTTCACGTCTCGTTTCTCCAGGCTGTCCAGTCTCTTTGCTCCTTGTGTGACGCAGAAGTGGTTTAACACTTGCGAAGGGCTAACAGGCTCGCAGGAAATGGGGCATGCCTAGAGGATTTCGGCACTGTCCCCAAAGGGTAATTGTTAAAAAAAGCCATTAGCAGCCTTTTTATAAGTTGCAATAATACACTAATTAACGGCATTGATGTGTTTAATTGTTGGTACCGCAGCTGCTGCTTACTTCTTCATAACTTGTTGTGTATCCCGCTAGCCCAACAGGGAGTCAAGATTTCTTTTGACAGTAAGTTCCTAACTGTACTTGATGCCTTTTCAGGTGCAGAGAGAACATTACCCTACTCTTCCTTATCACAAGAACAAAGACAGATTGCATTTAAATGTAATGAACTTGCAAGTTGTAAACTTACAGGTTTAGCATGTTTAAATGTCAAAACTAGAGGCAGAAGAGAGTTCATCCCCTGAATAACTACTACCATGTCCGAGGAAAGCAGTGCTTGCTCAGTCTCACCTGGTTTGATGGAATATGGGATGGGCAATAAAGGAAAAGATTGGCACACATGCCAGCTGCGGGGAAACCCCCATATAGAAGGCAGAATATAAAGAATCACAAAGAAACTCCTAAACTGTGAGTGAAAGTAAGTTATGCTTGTGTACCAGATGATGCACGGCGCTACTGCATCAGAAAAGATTGGGAATTTCCTTGGCATCAGTGAGAAGAAACTATGGGACCATGACCTTCACACAATCACCAGAGCACCTACGTTTCCTGCATGTGTGTTGCAACTGCAACAATAATTTACATCTGTCTCTTTAAATGTAAGAATATTTGAGCTAAAAACTGGAAACTCCGTATAAGAACACTACTCTTACGCTTACGTTTAAACTTGTACCTCCAGCCACAACCAATGATGAAGAGCTGTAGTCAATTCAAACTTACTCTGTAGAAATCTTGGCTATTGTATCACAGGAACTGTACTCCACACCCGTGAAAATGTCTTTGCACTGTCCTGTCCGAAAACCATTGAGCCAATCACCTGTCGTGCGGAAGGCTGAAATGTCAATGTTACTTTGGTCCAGGAGAAGATTTGATGGCCTGAAATAAAAAAGAATGTGATGAAAGTTAGGGAGCAGGGATATGTATGGATTTATTTTGTGTCTAAACTTAGCACTGGCATTGGCAGGGGCTTCCAGGCTAGACGTGGCTTTTCTGTTCGTCTGTGGAAGTTACCTGCTGCTGAGGCCACCACACGTACTCATGCTGGCAGCTCTGACAAATGCTGTGTAATCGTCTTGCTTAAGAGCACCAGCTTCTCATGCCCACATTTAAACCACTGAAGCACCACCAATTCTTGAAGCGTATCGGTACCTTACAATTTAATGTGTGAAGCACTAGCAAAGACAAGCCTAATTCAGATTATATTTATGTGATTCACCTAGTCCCAAACAACACACAAAGGATGCACATTCTGGACTCCAAGTGGAGTGTGTTGGTAGAATTTACACATATCAAATGTTCAGAGTACTGCAGCCCACTGACAAATCCTTAATGCTACTACTAAGTTAGAAGCACAAATAAGACGACACCTGTGGCTTTAAAAAATTGTATCAAGTCTCAAAATAAAATGTTCAGTGAATTTGTGAGACAAATATAACTGCACGAGACTTGCCTTCTGCAGTGCACAGAGGCAGAAATGAGGAAATTTTTCATTAAATACATTTAGCCAAATGTAACATGCAATTGCCATGTCCAGTTTAAAATTGATGCTCACTCTAAGACCGAAACTTCCATAAGGATTTCATACAAATACTTTAGATGTGAGAACCAAATCATCTCCTGCCTTTGAAATTATCTTCCTGCTCATAAAGGATACTGTACTGATGTGATTTGTATCCAAGTTCTCTACTCAGAAAACAATGAAGAAACCAGTAAGAAACAAACAAAACCAACACCATGAATCAAACAAAACATCTGTCCATGCTGCTTTGCCCATTTAAACCTTTTTCCACCTGCATAAGTCTACCTATAAGCTATCGAGAAAAAAATATCCTTCTCAAAATTATGATTAAATGCATAATTTTTTATCAAGAAGGAATATATTGCAGCTGACACTGCACTTTGCATATTGCAAACAGCAAAAATGGCTGCTCCCATATTGATCCAGAAATTCAGTTCTGTCTGGTATGAACACTTGTTTTCATGGTCTTGTGAGCATACCGTAACTTCTTATTTGAGAGCATCAAGACTAAAAATAAATGCCAGCCCTTTCCCATGAAGTCACTAGAGTCAGGCTCTACCACACCTCATTTTAGCCATCTAAAAACACCACAAATAGGCCCAGCTAGTTTTCTGAGCTATTGCTGCAGTCCATGGAGAGATACATTTCCATGCAGTGGGTTTGTCCTCTCTGAGACAGGTCTTCCACACAAACAGCTTGGAGGAGACACCCAGCTCAGAGAGGTGAACCTGTTTCAGCTGTTCCTGCTCACTGACTTGCTATTTTTTCTAAGAGGTGTGAGAAGCTCCTGAATAGCAAGACGATCAGTAATTTCTTTCTACTAACACGATATTTTACTAATTCTAGTTACATTTCCCTCTCGGTGCTATTTAGTACAATAATGACTTCCTCATCTAGTCAGAGGTTACTAGAGTCGTCAACTCTATTTTTGCATATTTCCCTCCACTGACAAACATATGTCTGTATTGGACAGCTTTTCAGCCCCCATTCAGAAACATGCATGCTCCATATTAAGTGAAGTAACCCATAGTGACTATCTCAGGCTTAAAGCTAAGCATGTGCTTAGCTGTGCTACTATCATGGTGCTACTCATGAGCACAGGAGACTGAACTAGAGGATGTTCCAAGCAGTTAGCGCTGCAACTTTACAGTCTATTTTCTGCCCCATAATTCTTTTTCCCCATGGCTCTAGGGAAACATCACCTGCACAGGAGTCTGGCTACTACAGCTGAATCCATCTGAAGTGACCTTTGTCACTGGAAAGAAGTGAAAATGAGAGGTGGTAGGACTAATACCATAATTTAAAGGCAGTGGTTACACAGTGTAATGGGTAGGTAACAGTTATTGGTACTGGAGAACTGATCTGGGTTGTAAAACACCCTCTCCACCCCAAACCCAAGCCATCTCTGAGCACTGGAAAAAACATAAAGGGGGAGATTGTAAAGGCACCAAAGACAACAAAGTGTCTAAATACCACTGAATAAGCAGCCTAGAAAATCCAGACAAAACTTCTCAATCCCAACACAAGTCTATTAAGCTTCATCAAGATCTGCAGCACTGCAATAGCATACCCTTGCAGTACAAGTGACTTACACTGCAATCAGGAGATGCCACATCAGTTTTACTGAGACTTTTACCTTTGAAGAAAAGAACAACATAGCTTTGCTAAACAGTAACTCTTGGTATTTTCTACATATTAAACAGCACCTTTTACTTCTGATGTTTTGCCAATTTTTATCAATCAGTTGATTTCTTTCAGGCTCAGAAAATTATTTTAATATCTTCATCCCTTCTGGGATTGCAGGCCATAATTAAAGAGCTCATTAGATGCTTGAAAATCTGAACTCCAAAGCCACAAATAGACATTACACCACGACAGATTCACCATTCATTTTCACCAGGTCTCAGAGCAGCGATGTCCCTGATCAGGCACCTTTCGCCTGCCTACCTTCCCTCCAGAGCCCAGCCAGGACAAGGAGCTGCTGCGAACGACCATGGTCACTGGCACCAGCTATGGACCTCCCATCCTGAGAACAGCTATAGACGGAAAGGAAAGCGACAGAAGACACCAGAAACCCGCTCTGCCCCCAAAACAGTAAAGAAGGGAAAGCACAGCATGGCTGCAGCGTCACAAAGACTGAGCTCAGGACAGAAGATGCAGCACACTTCAGGTTACTGTTTTCACGCTAAAAATAGATCTTAGGCACCTAGGTGATATACATCTTTAAACGCCCTCCAGTTAAAGGCTCAGGTTAGATGATCAGGCCCAAAATATTTCTATTCAGTAGCTGCACAGCCTGCATCTCCCTGACTACTGTTTGTCCCGTGAAGAGCCAATGCTTTTTATTTATAGTTTTCTGGCTATAGTGTCTGGAATCCCAAGACATTTATTAAGAGTATTTATGAAGTGTTCTTAGTGATAAAGCATGGAGATTTTGTTCTTCCAGCCTAGTATGCCTTTTCAACTTAAATCTAATAAAACAAGGCCTGACTCAAGAATCACTAATGAAGAAAAAAAAAAAAAAGTATAAACAAGTTGAAATAGAACAGGTCTCTAGGATTAGGAATTAGAGTGGCCCAAAAGAGCTTTTATGTTTATTACTTGGATCAAAGTATCATCAGGACAAAAAATATGACCTAATTTTAATGCAAGTGACCTCAGAATAACCAGCACTGTAAAGTATCATTTTTCTCCTTGTAGGATTCCAAACAAAAATTAGTTACTTTCCTCCTCAGAGAGGACATCTGGACAGTTTATCAATGAACAGGAATTTGTCTCACTGTGAAGAGTCTGTGATGTCTCCTCGCATTCACCAAGGGAAAGCTGGGCTTTCAGAGCATCTGCACACATTGGCAGTTTTTTTCCCTCTGACCCAGCCCCTAGACAGAAGGTCTGAACGTGAAATTTATGGCCTGGGTGATGTGTACCATGAGCTCACACTTTACTAGACAAATTAGATGGGTTGCAATCCGTGCAGCTGTAAACGACGTCCTGCAGGGTTCCACCTGATCTTTTACAGCTTTTCATAAATCAGTACCTACTAGCTTCAGAAGAGTCATTAAAAAGAAATCATGGAAATTACATGTTTGCTCAGGGGAAGTGAAATAGAACATTTCCCTCTGTCTTTTCTTCTCTCTCCTCTTTTCTTTTTTTCTTTTTTCCTCTCTCTATTTTGTTGCTTTGACCAACTATGATATACCCCCTCGTGTTATCTTTCAACAGTCATGGAAAGGCTTTCTATCCTGTTCATCCTGACTGGGTGTCTATCTACGGAGTTGTATTTACTCACATGTGGCGCCCTGAAAAAAAAATCAGCAAGACTCAGGTTAGAGAGACAAATTTAACAGCGAGATACCAGTTACAAAATGCCCTGTTGCTGAAAGCTTTCTCTTGATCTGCCCATTACGTTAACAGCTGGAATTAACCTTTGAGTCATCTGCAGTAGCAGGGAGAACTATAGTTTGTTATCATTAGCACAGCTTTTTGTCAAAACACAGGGCAAGTCTTGCTGCACCATATAGTAAGGACAAAGACCACAGAAAACATCATTAGAACCCTTCCCAATATGGCATGGAAATCTCTGGTTGGCTGCTGCCTGGTGAGAAAGGGATACATTAACTTGTAAAATCCAGAGACTGAGACAAATAAAAGGAAAATGTCCTGCCACTTCTTCTGCATGAAGGGTGGTATTCTGCAAATACACGGAGGAGTTGTGCACACACGATCCTGGACTTCGTATTGCAGTAGCCTCTCTCTTTCC